TGGAATTTTTTAGACATTGTTTCCGTGTTCCTGGTATATTACCTTAGTTGAAAATTTTTTCTGGGGCGCGAGTTCTGGCGTATGTTCCGAAAAAAATCGTTTTTTCGCGTAATTCTTCTCAAGTTTTGCAAGTTATACCAATTTTTTGTTTATGCACCCATTGAAAATATGAAAAGTCGGCGCCCATGCTAATACTTCGGTGATGCCAACAAAATTTTATTTGTGCTATCAAAATAATGGCATTGTTTAAGAGCAGTCTTCTTAAAGATCATCTTCGTTAAATCTTGCGCAAATACTTGAAATATAACATTTAAAGTTTTTCAAGTATAATTTGCTGATATTCGAAAGCGAAAATGCGTTGGTAAATGCAGATGACCGAAAGTATGGGTCTACAACACTTCACTTTTGATCCCGTCTCGATGTAATCTTCATTACAGTTTCACGAGTCAAATTTAAGGATGTTCGCTCCTCTCATCACGAACAATTCAGGTTACGAAACGTGTAATTTTGATAATGGCCAAACTGCATCGAGGAACGTTTGTATGATAATTTTATGTATATTGTCTGATTTGCATCCAACATCAATTTTAACTTTCGTTTCGAGTCACCCGATGATGAATTTGGAATTTTTTCTTGCGAAAAATTACTCATCATTGATAGGGGATGATCAAATAGCAACATTGGCGAGAAATTTAATTGATGATGTAATGATATGCGTACACGAATACCTATCATTAATAAGATTCGAAATGACGATGTGTGTTCTGGTAATCACCTTGATTATACACAACATCGAAACGACATCTAAGTCGAGATTTAGTAAAACTTTAATTATATCCTTGAATGGACACTGCTACTAATTTATGGCTGCATTATGCATATACTCTATAAACACTATTTTATCGTTTGTTACACAGTGACGTTTTAATAACGAATATAATACAGTGCGAGGAAAAATCTCCCGTATCTCCAAACGCTCGTATTTCAACAATGTTGCTAATTATTCGAATCGTTAACAGAACATTAAAAATGAATTCATCTACTAGTCAAATAAAATTAAGGATCAAGGTTTCAATAAATTATATATTCGATTCACCTTGCTATTTTTTCACAAGAGATGATTCCAGAATCAGACAATCAAGGTAAAATTTCTGTGGGTTAGTGGATTTTTTATCAATTGCGAGTTGATGAACTAATAGACTATTTTTAGTAATGCACACTCTATTATTTTCAAATTAATAAAAAATATTGTTACAAGGATATTTTTTAGCAAGCGCCTATGATGGATGCGTTCCTTATAAGAAATATTGTGTTGCTGATGCTATTTGACACGTGTTAAACAATTTTTTATGTTTTTTGACAAGACAATAGTGATTACATCTTAAAAAATAGCAACATGTTACTTCCTTGATTTCTGAATTAGTAAACAACATTAACTATTTGGATAAAACTATTTTAATGAGCAAAATGTACATGAAAAATTATAAATCGTGATTATTATTGCTGCTAATAATTCCAACTGGTTTTCGAAGTTTTTTAATAAAGTAATAAAATTTTACAAAAAAACGAAAAATAAAAATTTATTTAAAAAGCAGACATTTTTGTAAATAATAAATATGCACATTTTTTTAAATTCAGTTATGATTATTTTCAACTTTGCTTTTATCAAATACAAAACAGACATGGAAGTTTCACTGAAATTCAATAAGAAACTAGTCCTTACACTTGCTTCTAGATGGCGTGTAACTTCATAAAATCTTTAATTTATTTCAAATAGAGGTTATAAAATCTATGAAATATTAAGTAAATTTCTTTTATTGATACTAAATAGGTTGTAGATATAAAAAAGCACCGCTTTAGCACCATTTCTTAACTTTCTATTATTTATGTTTTATCATTTAATTAATGTCTATAATAGTCTATAAGAACCATAAAAGCACTTAAATATTTGTATATCTAACTTAATAAGCCAGAAACAACAAATATAAAATGTTGCGTACATGTTTTTTGTATTACAAAATTGAAGTTTAAAAATTTTTGTTTAAAAAACCAACAAAGTAAATAAAATAAAAATCTCCGGAAAGAATAAAAATTACTCTAACTATTTTGGCGTTTTCCAAATACATGTTTATGGAAAACCGAATATTTAATCATCTGTTTAAATCTGTAACATAAACAACGGAACAGATTTTATAAAAAAAAGTACTGTAATTTTTTTTTTTTAGATAGTAGATATTTATGAGGTTTTATATCCTGCTATTATTTTTTGACGTCAATTTAAAAAAAAAATAAAACAAAAACCATTCTTTTTTAATCTAAAAAAAACTATAGATGAAGTATTTGTTAAACACACTCAAATTCGCAAAATTGTAAAACCAAAAACTGCAATTTTCAATATTATAAAATAAAACAAGTTATAGACATCTTTTTAGTACAATAAAAACAAACTCCAGTGAGCGAAAAAAAATCATATTTTATTGTGAAGTCTCAAAGGAGCAATTTTTTTATAAAATCTCAGAAAAATCAAAGATGACAAACAAAAAATAAAATTATGTAAATTTAAAAAGTAGACATAATTATGTAATTAAATAATAAAGATGCACATTTTTTAAAGATTTTTAAAATCTTTAGTTTTGATTAACAACTTTGTTTTTTGACAAATAATAATGTACACAAAACACACATAAAAGTTTCACTGAAATTCAATAAATCACTAGTCCTTAGATTTGCCTGTAGATGGCGAGTAACTTCATAAAACGATTGATTTATTAAATAGAGGTTATAAAATGTATGTTCGATAATGTAATCGACAAATAAAAAAGCACCTCTAGTACAATTTCTTAATTTTCTATTATTTATGTTTTATCATTTAATTAATGTCTATAATTGTCTAATAAGAACCATAAAAGCATTTAAGTACTTGTATATCTAGTTTAATAAAGTTACAACTATTTTCAAAATGTTGTAACAAATATAAAATATTGCGTAAATGTTTTTTTATTACAAAAATTAAAATCTAATCGTTTTTGCTTTAAAGTCTCAACGAGTAAATAATCTGAATATATAGTGTGTCCGTCCTCGGTGTTTCTTTTTTCATTTTTTTCTAAGATAGTTTTTAGTAACAGATACGTTAAAAAGTGATTTAGTAGTAATAATCTAAGTGAGAAATTATTTATTCATAATAAAAGAATTGTTAAAAATAAAATTTTTTGATTTGTAAAATAAACATTTCAAATCATAGTTGGCCGATGATTGTGAAATTTGGTATAAGAGCGTATATGTTGATTATAAACAACGTTTCTTAATAAAAAAAATAGTTAACAATTTTTTTGTTTTCGAAATAATAAATATTTATGAGGTTCCATACTATTTTTCGACGTCAATTCCTATCAAAAATCATTCTCTTTTAAGCCAAAAAAATTAAATTTGTTAAATAGATAAATTTGTATTTTTTTAATATTACAAAATAAAACAAGTTGGTGCAATAAAAACAAATTCCAGTGAGCGTATAAAACACATATTTTATTGTGAAGTCTCAAAGGAGCACTCAATTTATCAGGAATGTAGTAGTAATAGTAAAAAAAATATTTGTAAACTTTCAAAGATGACATGTTAAACATGTTTCAAAATTTTTAAGATTACATCATTTTCATCATTGTAAACTGTAATTAAACATCTACTAGCATCATACTTTTGACAAACTTGTTAAAACATTATTAGAAAATGCTTGTACTTGGCAAGGAAATGAGGTGAAATAAAGAATGAGTTAAACACAAATTTCTTTATTTTCAGTAGTATGTAAAATGTTACTTCTGGACCAGGGCATTTGGCGTCTTAAGAAACAGGATAGAATCCTTCCAATTTAGCTGTTTTCCTAAAAGTAAACAACCAAAAAAAGCTTGTTTTTAAACACTCCAAAATGGCTTTTTATTTCTGGGCCAGGACATTTGGCGTCTTAAAAAACAAGGCAGAATCCCAAAAATTTAGCTGTTTTCCCAAAAGAAAACAACCGAACAAAACCTAACATCCTTCAAAAAGCATTAATTTTTGTGTACCCAATTGTGTGTAGACCACCAAAAGTTGGGCACATAAAAAAAACGTTAAAAATCACCCAAAACCATGCAAAATTATCTCAAAAGCACTCTGACAAACTTACAAACTCTGTTGTTTTTAGACATTCCAAATGGCTTTTTATTTCTGGACCAAGCCATTTGGCCATTTGGCGCAAGCAATAAAAAGGAAAAACAACACCAAATCAAGGAGGGATGGTACCAGGATATTTGGCGTCTTAAAAAACAAGGCAGAATTCTAAATATTTAGATGTTTTCCAAAAGTAAACAACCGAAAAGGACATAAAATCCTTCAAAAATCAATCATTTTCGTACAGCCTAAAAGTACCCAAATATTTAGGTATAGACTACCAAAAAAATTGGCGCGCAAAAAAACTTTTGAGAATCACCCAAAAGAGCACTCTAAAATACCTCGTTTTTAAACACTACAAAATGGCTTTCTATTTCTGAACCTAACCAACTGGCACATGCAAAATTATTGATAAACGACCGAAAAAAGCCAACAATCTTATTCATATCTCTCAGGTTTGCAACACCCCAAAATGGTATTTTTTCGTTTCTGGGTTTTTTAAAAATTATCAAAGAAATCATGGAAATTAGGCCTAAAAGTAACTAAATTATTGAAACAATGGTCAAAGTGCCTCATTTTTAGATACTTGTCCCAAAATTGCTTTTCATTATTTCAAAAACAAAAAAATGTTATAAAAAATTTAGAGTACATTTTTTTTATGTAGTGTGTCCCCAGATAGGTGAAACGACCCTAAGAAAGATAAAAAATTATTGCCTTAAATTTTTATTTTTTGCGGTTCAGCTCTGCTTTGTTAAAGACTAATTTCTAACATAATTTTAGTTTTAAAAAATCAATAGTATGCCTTGTAAATTTTATTTATTTTTACTGTAGGGTAAAGTGTCTTTAATGTAGAAAGTAAGTACGACAAAAAGTTCAATTTATTTCAATATATTTTTTTTACAAATTGCTGAATAAATATACATCGAGGCTCAGTAAATAGTGACAACAGTAAATTTGAGAATCCAAAAATACATAGACATTTTGCATTTCTATATTAGGAATACAAACAGCGAAGTTATAATTAACGACAAGTTTGCATGCCTAAAGCACAATTTGAAAGGCATTTGTGTTTTCGTTGGAAAATGACATCCGTCTTGAAAATACAATACGTAAACCTATAAACTAAATCATAAGGTATAAAAAACGACATGGTTTCATCACAGATGAAAAATAAGCATCAGTAACTTTGCCTAATTACAAAATTATGGCAAAACGATTTAGTGATAACGAATCCATTTGAAACTTTGACACGTCGACTTTTAATTGGTAACTAGAAAAGCCGCAAAAACAACTCCGAAATTCGCATTACTAGAGCATGGCTAATTAATATTAAACGAGTCGAAATTGAAATCAATTAGTCGCAGTTACAGAAATTTCTTTGCTTAGTTTTAACATTTTTCTAACGGTGCACATTCGAATTCACTCCAGCCGAAAGCAAGCTGCCTGACATGACTTCTGATTAGTGCATGTTTTAATCGTGTGCATAAATAAATAGTTTTCAAGATGGAGTCAGTAATGTATGTGTTCGACTAAAGCCAGTCAAAGACCCTAACTTCCTGCCAACCCATTTGGCGTGGTTCAACAACCAACGGACACTGCGCGTCACTCCACACAAACCGTTCAAATTCGTGCCTTTTATCAGTTTGAGTTTCAAGCAGAGCGTTATCACAAATCGTCTACTTTAAATAAAATTTTCTACAAACTAGAAATCACAAGTCTTAAACAGAACTTTAAAAAAAGTTACAATACACAAATCACAAACAGCTGAAGCTGGAGGGTACATACTAGTGTTTATTTTTATAAATAGAGTGTTCCCCGGCGCTGACTGGGCCCGTTAATCGAATACTTGGAATGCTTCTTGTAGACTATGGCCGCTGGTTCGATTTTCTTCGGTTTGTCCACGACTGGCATCGAAATATCGGGGTGTTCCCTGATTTCCCACACTAGATTCGTCAAACTCCGGGGTCGGGATAGCTTCCGGGACCGCTTCTCGGGCTGTTTGACGACGCCGCCCGAGTCGCCCGACGCCCTCCCGCCGGAATTGCTCGAGTCGAGCGTCCCGTCGAGTTCCATCGCCTGGAGGTTGTTCAAGGATTTGTACCTGATGTTGAAAAGGGGGGAGCCGGATTTGGAGATGGGACTCGGGGGGGTTTCTTTCATTGGCGAGGCGCTTTTTTGACGCAGGAGGCGGCTGCGTTGAGACTGACCGTTCTTGACGTAGAGCTTGGGGAGACCTGTTGACAATATGAGAATGTTTTTCTCGACAAATGCAAAGATAAACGGATCAAGTGATAATTAACTACACTGGGCGCCAAAATTAACCGGACAACTAAAATTTTGCGATTTTTTACATTGTTATTTTTTGTTGGATTTCGACTAATTTTTGTTTGGTTTAAAGAACGAACTTTGCAGAACATTGTAATTTAATCCAATAACATTTCTAGTTTTGTCTTGTAAATGTTATACCTAAAACTTTTTTTTATACTGAGCTGTAGTGTGCAACAGGGACAAAATTAAGTTTTTACTTATTTCAGATTATTGCCCGTTCTTTTCTGAATGAGGACCGATTTGTTTCAAAATTTTAACTTCTGGTGCCCCAGAGATGCAAAGCATTGAAAAACACTTTGTTTTTCTAATGTTACTAAATATTCGTTCAGAAAGTAGGTTACATAAAAAGGCAGTTAAACCGAAAATGATTGCTTACGTCACCAAAAAAGCACAATTACGTCTTTGAACACAAAAAATCTTCAAAGGATTACTACAAGTAAAACTGTTAATTATTGGAAGCTTTCATGACGTTTTGGCACATTCGGCCTACTTAATTGGAATATTCATTGAAATCGGAAATGTAATGTTTTTTTTTGAAGGTTTAAATCTCTCGTTTCAAGAATTAAAATTATGGAAAAAGAATGGCCAATAATCTGAAATCAGTAAAAACTTAAGTGTGTCTCTGTCGCGCACCACAGCTCAGTGTAAAAATAAGTAAAAAACAGTGCTTTCGTCTTTTGAGTATCACATTTAGAAGACAAAAACAAAGAAATGTTATCGAATTAAATTACAATGGTCTAAGTTTTTTTCTTTAAACCGAACAAAAATTTGTCAAAATCCGACAAAGAATAACAAAAATATTGCAATGTGAATAATCGCAAAATTTTAGGTGCCGGGTAATTTTGGCGACCAGTGTATGATTGTAATATAGAAAATTCTGATTTAATATACAAAATATACAGAATGGCCCAGCTAAAATCTTATTTCTCTATATCTCTGTTACGAGTACCTACTATTGAGTCAAACTGCTTCAAAACTAAAACGTGAATAAAGTAACAGAAAAAAACAATCTACTAAAACAATTTCGAACTGAAAAGAATCGTTGAAGCTAAAAGCATATGTTGTACTGTAGTACCTACAATACTCTAAAACTCGTATACAGAGTGACTTTAAACAATTTATTTAGTTTGTCTTATTACTTTAGTTAAGAAAGAAATGCATATTTGAAATTAGTTAACAAAAATAACTTCAAAGTCCAACACTTGTTATTAATCAAAAACAATTTGTGTTAAAGTTAGCAAATAAAGCATCATCAACAAAAAATGTCCTTTTCTATAAAAACATACTTGCTACGTTAATTAAATTAAAACAAAAAGATATTTTAAGAAATGTTCAAATTTTTTAGTGCACATCGAATTTACTTACCGCAATGAAAATGAACATTATTTAAGATGTTTTTTTACGGGTTTCTAAGAAATATGGAAAGTTTATAAAACTGTACTTAAAAATTCAACCACTACATTTTTAATTAATAGTCTCTTGATAATTAATATCTTTATTCCTTATAAAAAATATATATATTTTAATTTTTGATGTACCTAAATTCACATACAACATACAACAACAAAAAATTAAATAATATAACGCGTCTGACCATCTGGATGGTTTTTTTTCAATTTAAAAATTGTCATTTAAGAATGTAGATTGATGGTGGATTTATGCTTCCATATTTAAGATTTAATTTAAGAAAATCAATTTTGCATTTTCGATGGTAACATTTATACTATCATTTAACATTTAAACTTAAGTATTTAAGATTTAAATTAATTTAAGAGTTCCCAACTTTTAACTTTTTACGTTAAATGACAAAATTGATAAAATCTGTTACAGAACCTTGTCATTACTAACATTAATCACACTTAAAAAGTAAGACTTCAATCTGAAATATTAAGAATTAGTATGGAAGATATTAATGTTAGAGAATATAGTTTATAGATTGTCACAAATCGTCACTAATTTAACAAATGTTTGTGTAAAATACGAGATTTCATTAGTGTATCCTTAAATTAGGTACTTTTTAGTTAATTTAAAAGTAAAATGTTAAATCCGTTAATTCTTAAATGATAAATCTTAACTATGGAAGCATAAATCCACCATAAGAAAGTTTTATCTGTAAATATTTCTATGCAGAAAAGTTTGTTAACAAACTTAAGATATTTGTGATGTTCTCTTGTTCACATACATATTCATCAATTTTGTCTATAAAGATATTTTAAATGTAGTTTAAAACTGTTTTGTCTATAAAGACATTCTAAATGTAAACTGTTTGTGTTTAAAAAGTTAAAGGTTTTCCCAATAGAAAAAAAAATCCTCTTTATTTCTATTTTAAATTAAAAAGGTTACTTTTTGTCTTGAAATTTTTTTTAACACTAATGTTAAATTCAGAAAAACAAATTTTAATTTGATCGGCGTTAAAACCCTTGATTAAACCCTATATGTTAAAAAACTACCAACCATGAGGAAAATAAACTTCAACAAAGTGCTTCATCGTCCGGAAATGACTGAAATAGAAACTAATTCAAAACTAAAACGATGGTTTTTATAAGTTGTTGCAACAAAATAAGTCGATTTACGTAAATTTCTGACTCAAAAACGTGCTAATAAATCCCTTGAAAATGGTCCAATTCAGAGCAAAAACGACGTTTCACTATTATAACTTTTTAAAATTTCTGAATAACGATTTAATTCGGTCTGTCTACAAAAAATCCAAGGTTTATTGTTATAACAGGAATTAAATATATATTTTTTGGATTTTATCAACATTTCTAAACCGAACTCATTACATGTTGAAGCTTTACACTTTTTTATTTTGTGAATTAAGGCTAAAGTACATGGAAAATGCCTATTTTTAATAATGTTTTGAACTATGCGGATGAAAATTGGTGGCAAAAAATGCAAATTTTTAATAGTTTAGAAGTTATAACAGTCGAGTATAGATTTTAGTTAGGTAATTGTGTCTTTACAAGCAATTTTTTCAATAAAAACATATAATTATCGCAAAACAATAATCTTTTTTTTATAAGATAGGAAATTTAAAGTGATTTCCAACGATAACAAACACAAAGAAGCTATTGATAATGGTTTCGGAGTTATTAGCTGATGTAGCTTCGGCTACCGAAAATCGACCAAAATTTTGACAGAAATCTAAAAAAATTAAAACTTCAAAATTAATCTAAATGCACTTCTAAACGGGGGGAGTCTAAGAAACAGAAAAGTGCATAAAACGTTGTAGAAACGCGAAAAATAAACAGAGACACTGACTGGAAGCGTAGGGGCGCAGCGACATAAAGTCCTGCTTTCGGCAGGTAGAACCGCCGAAAAGTCAAAAAAATGTCTGTAATTCCAATAAGCACAATAAGAAAGCACAAAAGCATGAAAACTTTTTTAATCATAAAAAAAATTTCTCCTGTATAAGGAAGTTTTGACAACTGTTTCGCATTTCTATATAAAAACGTCAGATTATTTTTAACAGATTTTTAAAGCAATTTTAAGCCTTGTTGAGTCTAATTCGGAGAATAAAATATTGTATTTAACTCGTCTTCGTGTAAATCGGTTCATTTATTCCACCTCGTAAAAAATGTTTTCTTCTGTGTAAGAAAGTTTTGACAACTGTTTGGCATTTCTCAATACGAAACGTCACATTATTTTTAACAAATTTAAAGCAAGTTGAAAAAATGTTGATTCAACTCGCTTTATTCCACCTCGTGGTTTAAAAATCCACTCGTGAAATGAAGTGTTCGATTTACACTCAAACTCGTCGAATAAATAACTATGTTTTTTTCTAAAATGCCACAAGTAAATTCCTTTTTTTTTCAAAAAATCAAAAACTTTGTATAACGTTTTTTGCACTTCTAATTAAAAACAAGTCCGAATAGACTCCCCTTTTTGTATTCTTTTGTATTATTTGTAAGCCACTCTGTATGAATTTAAAGAATTTTCAAAAAACATGTGTATTTTAAAAGGTTCACTCTGTACAGGGTGGTGCATTTTGGATGTCCGAATAGAGAATCTCCGAAACTAAGAGGTTTAGCCAAAAACGAGTACATTTTGGGGCTCATTTTTTGAGAAAATAATATTGGTTAAAACCGCATCCCCGATATCGTCTTTTGTTTTCGACTTATAGACAAAAATTGACATTTTAGCGAAATCTAAAAAAATTCATATCTTCGTTATTATAGAAGACACAGATTTGAAATAAAGACGTTATACACTTTTTTACGTAGAATTTAATAATGTAGTTAACATTTTTTTTCAGTTGTTTGTTTAGCCGTAATAAAATAAACTTGTATTTTTTTAAATGGGAATCATAGATGGCTTGTCATTTTTAAAAAGCTTGTTTTTTTCTTATCTAAAAAATATATATTTGTAACAAATTATAATAATACATTTTTAGCAAAAAATTATCTTTGTTCGCAGTTGGCCATGAAAAAATGTTGCATCTGCAACTAAAAGGATTTAAACTATATTATATTCAACCAGTGTCATTAATGAAAGAGTTTTCTAAGTACTAAGTGATGAAAGAGATGCAAAATAAATTGTAAATCAACTTATTGGCGACTAATAACATTTCTTTGTTTTTAAACAAGCTAACATTACCATTGCAACTTCAAGTGATACATAGAGTGTTGTAAAAAAAACCGCTTTAATTCTTCAATAAAATATATTTTATATGACACAAAAATGACGATATGGCTATTCAAATACCCAAATTCCGTCTATGTGAAACGTTATCCTACCTCCATTAGATCATCAAAAAAATGTTTTTTCTAATTGTGTTGACTGTTGACACATTTGTTTTTCCTATTTTTGGATTTTTTAAACAATGTAATAATTTTGTTCTGAGGCGCTCGGATATTTGTTCAATGCTTCTACCGTATCGTATTTTTTAAATCTTTATAATTTTATCTATTTTTTCATCTATTTTACAGTTCACAAAACTCTTATTGATTATTATTTACACATTTGGAGTGAAATAGTTTTTCCATGGCCAACTATTATCACACAAAATATGTATTTCACTTTTTAAGTATAGTTATAAAAAAATATTTTGTTACAAATATATATTTTTTAGATCAGAAAAAATTGCCATAGCCGCCTATGGTTTCCATTTAAAATAATACAAGTTTATCTTATTACGGCTAAACTAATACTTGAAAAGAATTGTTAACTACATTACTAAATTCCTCGTAAAAAGGTGCCTGTATAATGTTTTTATTTCAAATCCGTATCTTCTATAATAACGAAGATATAATTTTTTTTAGATTTCGCCAAAATGTCAACTTTTGTCTGTAAGTCGAAAACAAAAGACGATAGCGCGATGCGGTTTTAACCAATATTATTTTCTCATAAAATGAGCCCCAGAATGTATCACTCGTTTTTGGCTAAACCTCTTAGTTTCGGAGATTTCCTATTCGGACATACAAAATGTACATGTGTTTGAATTTAGTTTATATGAGGTAGATGTTGTATTGTGGTAGAGGTTGGTGCTTTCTAGAAGTATTCAAATTACCTGGGGGCGTCTTTTCCGCCTTGCGTATCCTCTTTTCCGCCTGTATCTTCTTGGTGGGTATGGTCTCGATGGGCGGCGGTTCCGGTTTGAGATCGGAGACAGGATGCGAAGGTGTGGAACTGTGCGAGGTGAGAGAGGGCGAAGGGTCGGAAAAGGGCGAGCGGATATTCTTGGGTAACGGAGCGAATCCACGCACATAATCATATATCTGATCGATTTCGTCATAATCTTTCGAATGGATGGCATGATGATGGGAGTGCTTCGTGCGGTGGTTAGCCGAATCAGAGGAAGCGCTCCGACGTAACAAATACCCGTTTTTGATTTCGGCGGCGGGCGGCGTTGAATGTTTCTTCGAATCGCCCAATTTCCCATCGAGCACTTGGATCCTGTCGGCGACGTCGGCCACCAACTTGGTGCACTTCTCGACCAAGCGGTGGAACTCGGGCATGGTCTTCAGCTGGTCGTCGTTGCGGGTCCGCAGGAGCTTCAGCGGGGCCGCCAGCGGCAGGGCGGTGACGCTGTGGGTGTCCTTCTGGAGGGGCAGCGCGAAGACGTGCTCCTCCTCGAACACCGAGAGTAATCTAAGTTCTGGCACGAAATGACTGGGGCTTTTGAGGCCTCGCGGAGCGGTGCCGTGGACCAGCCTCACAGTGAGCGGCAGCCGCTTGCTGAGGAGGTTCTTGGCGGTGTGGACGCCACTTATGTTGTCCTCGCGGGCGAGCACCGAGAACTTCCCCCTTTGCTCCAGCCCCAGGAGGATGGTGTCACCCCTCGAGTCGAGGCATTTCAGGTACCGGCCTTTGGAACCCGGGACTAGGATTTCTCCCGCGGGGACTAGGATTTCGCCCGCGGGAATCGTTCGGGCGCCCTCCGGGACGACGCCGCCCTCAGGATCAGTCTTGGCCTGGACCCCCCGAATGGTCTCCCGCACCAGACAGCCCTCCTCGGGCCGCCGGCGCGCCAACTCCGACACGCTTTCGATGCACCGCACGGCGCGCCCCTCCTCGCTGAGCAGCTCGAAGTAGCCGCTGTAAGTGTCCGGGATCACCAGACGGGGGCCCACGCAGACTAGTCGCCGGCCCTCTTTAATCTTCACGGCTTGGGCCACGATTTTTTGGCGTTTGCCGGCCGAGACGAGGAGGGCGCTGGACTGCAAGCCGGGGCTCGGGAGGGTCGGCACACCGAGACCGCCGTATTGCCCTTTGATGATCTTGACGACGGCTGGAAGCTGGTATTTGGAGACGAATTCGCGAAGGTAACTGCCCTCTTCGGCCCATCGCGCGGCTGCTACTGTTATTTGACCATCGGTTGCGGCCATTCTACCACCACTCGATGCTCATCTCTGCAAGAAAAAGCCGCCGTCAGAATTTATAGAATGAGGAATAAAGTAAATCACAGCAATAACGAAATTTTAAAATGTCATTAGATTAATAAACCAGCTCTGCGGACAATGAACTTCAGGGCCGTACCCAAGGGGGGGGGGGGGGATAGGGGGTTCAAAACCCACCCCGCAAAGCTGAGCCCTTGTTATATAGTGTTATAAGTGTTAAAAATTTAGTTTTTTTTGTTATTTTAATGAGTTAATTTAAAATTTTTGTGAATTAATTTTTCATGTGTTAATTATACAGTGTTTCATTTTTATTGTTAGGTACAAATTTAAATAGTTAATAGAATATTTAATTTTAAGATAAAAGTGTTTTGAAAAATGCTATGAAAAGGAGGTACACCCCATAAAAAAGGTACGTTTTTTAAAGGGTTTTTCCTAATATTTCAGAATAGATAAAATTACAAAATTTGGTACCTTTATGTGTACACCCAAACAAATGCCAAATAACAAAAATTTTAATCAGGGGCGTCCTAAACGGTAAAACAAATTTAATTTTTAATTTTTATGCTGTTTATGGTCTGTAACATAAATTTTTGAACCGATTTTTACTAAAAATCCGTAAATTGTAAGAAAAAACACAAAAGACCTTCTTTTATGAAAAACTATGAAATTTTGTTGCTAAAAGTGGCAAGAAACCACAGGCAAAATTGAGTAAATTTTTATCCTAATCCCATCTAGTTTAGGAATCCCTAATTAAAAATTTCAACATTTTATTTTTGTACTTGTTTAGGTGTATAAAAGTTATCATCTGAATTTTTTTCTAAAATGATTTTGGAAATATTGAAAAAAACCTATAAAAGGCGCACCCCTTGCGTAGCATTTTTCGATATATGTTCATAGAAAATTTTTGTTTTAAAAATGAATATTCATCTCCTGTTTAAATTTGTAACAATAAAAAGTATTAAATTTATTTTTTGTTACTTTTGTGAGTTAATTTGTATTTTTTTTATGTTTAAGGATCTCTTATTTCAATTTAAAATAAAAACGCGTACTTAGAGATTTTTGCTTTTTAATCCGTCTTCTTTAATTTCATTTTCATGGACCAACAAGAAACCCCCCCAGAAATAAAATCCTGGTTACGGCCCTGATGAACTTATTAGGTTCTGTTGAAAAGACAGACAATGCACCACAGATGTTTGGGGCGCGAGTTCTGGCGCACCCTGTATATATTTATTTCCTTATTTTTTATGTAAGAATAGAAATAGGTAAAAGAAAATGTCTGAAACTTTTCAAAGGTTTCAGAGATCTTTCAAGTGACTAGTCAGAAGCCGGAAAGTTGTATCCGCAGAACTTTGCACATCTCAAAAAAACAGAAAAAAAATGTAAAATGTAGATTTTTATATTTGTCGTAATCACATCCACGAATTAAAATTCAGCTTTAAAAACAAAAAAATAAGCTGAAGTTTCAAAAATGTTCGTCCAAAAACGAAGGTTTTTTCGAAAAGCCGTATTTCATTATAATATAACAACAAATAGTGTTGTCCAATGTAGTTTTATTCAATTTCAATTAAAAAAAAATTCATATAAACTTCCATTTTGAAAAAAAAAAACAACTCTGAAATAAAACAAAATTTCATTCTCACATTTTTTATAGCACTTTAAATGATTAAAAAAAAATCGTTTGGCCCCACACTTTTTATTCACATTGTATGTGACCACGACATCGACATCAATCTAAGTAAAAATTATGAATAGAGCATATTAAAAAAAAATCAAATTATTGTATTGAAATTGAATAATGATTGTTTTTGTTAAAAATATTTTTTAGAAGCTGTTTTTTTACCATTTATTAAAATTATATTTAACTTGCGTTAACTCATCTGTCAAAACGACATCGTTATCAAAAAAATAAAACGCCAATGTGATGGGATTTAAAACGCAGAAAAAAAAATACGCTAGTTTACACGATTTTTATACCTTAGATGAAAGTTAATTTCTTATAGATTTTGAAGCACTGAGTTAAAAAAAAAACATTTTAAAAAGGTCCACCACGTTATGTTTAAGAAATATGTAATTAACAAAAATACAAAAACCGCCAAAAAACATATTAAAAGTGAGTTATTTTACTTGGTTTTATTATAYTTTTTGGATCAGTTTTCTTTTTTTCGCAATAATTAACTCAGCAACAATTTGAATGTAAATAAATTTTAAATTGGAGGCATTTRTGCAGAAAGCAGGAAAATTATCGTCTGTAACAAAAAAAGTGRGACGTGATAGAAAAATTTAACAATTATTTTTGTTTAATTAAAGGTAAGTTAACATAAAAATAATAATTCGATTAAAGGTCGTATTGTTTGTAGACTATAGTGTTATTAGTTATTACAAGCT